TATCTTCAGACAATTACTGCGACATTTTCTGGCTTGCAGTACTTTCTTTTAAGAAGTCAGGTATGGCCAGTTATCTGGAGGTTTGGTGAACACCATGTTTTGAAGTGCATGTCTGTTTATCTCTCTGATCTCTAACTGAGTTTGTCAGTAAGGAAGAGCCACATCATGGAATGTGCACAACGACAATCTTAATTTACCACAAAAACACAAATATACCATGGCCAAGTATGTCTGTTGTGGCTGTGTTGGATTGGTGAGAAGGAGAAAGGAAGTGAAACTTTAGTGAACTCTCTCACCATAAGGTAAACTACATAACGGAAATAACAAAATTAAAATAAACTCAATGATAAAAGAATTGTTTAACACGAGAAATGTTTATATCTCAAATAAACTTAAACAACATTAAATTCTATAAAAAAAACTCTAATGAAGAGTTAAGTAAAAAGTCTTACCAAAATCTGTAAGTATACTAAAAGTTTTGAATAGAGAAAATCTCAGCAAAAAACTATGTAACAGGTAAGAGACTGGCTTTTAATACTGGAAAATACAATAATAACCAATGCCAGGTTTGCACACAAAAGCTCTTTTGCACTTGACTTTCGTCCACTTTTGGTCAGTCGCAATTGCAGGAAAGCCCTCTAGCTATTTCCCGATTCGCTTACAGAAAAGACAGGTTTTTCTTCTTAGACATCACATACTTTTTTCCTGCAAAAAACTCGGTTAATTGCCATTTACCGGACGAAGCCCAGGACAGAGCTAGCAAGAAGCAAAGTTAAAATGTGTTTAATTGAACGATTTCCCACATCTAAACTGATCTGAAATAAATATAGAAATTTCTAAAGGTTTACATATTAACTAAGGAAGTATAAAACACGTGGTACTGTCCTGTACCACAATACTTTATTGATATTTAAGAAATAAAAAACGTAAACTAAGTATTTTTAGATTTGCTTTAGCAATAACTTTAATTTATTTTGAAAACCTTACATGTAAAACCTAACAACATTAAAAATTTAGTTAAAGTATCATGCATTAAATGAAAATATTATGCTTTCATCTGGATTATAAAAAAAATATTACAAAAAATTTATTATATGTACGCAGATATTATATATAAAAAATAACATATATATAAAATCCTCATCTAAGCTGATCCACCAATCATTGATTCCCACGAAGAAACAACGCTGGTGTGGGGTGTCATCCGTGAAGATTACAAACCGGAAAGGAAGTCGGATATTCAATTCAAGTAAGTTAGTAATTTAGCGTGTGTTAAATATAAGAGTTTAATAGTAATTTATCTGGAAATAATTTTTATGTGCATAGACTTCGGCTTACTAGATAATATTGCAATTTCAGTACCTCTAACTTCATTCATGAGTTTAGTTTAGGTCGCCTACACTACAGATGTAAATGAGTTCCATCATGGCTAACGAATACTACGACTATTACTAGTATCACTGGATAGCAAAGTTAGGACTTAGGCCTAAAATGTATTAACGGCGTACTTGCTAAATTAAGCCTAAACTAAAGAAAACTAGTAATATATAATAATTTAGGTAATAAATTTGTTCGTAAGATAATATTTCAACTTTATAGTTTATTGTTTAGTTAACAGTAACATTATTTAACAGTGAAAACGTGTACAGTTTTTAATTAATTAATATCAACTTAAGTTATGATCACAGCAAGATATTATCTGTAGACCAAAACTAATATTATATTTATAATAACTAAGTTAAATTGAAAATATGGTAATTCCTCAGATCTATTACTACTAGTAGTAGTGATAATAATAACATGAGCATAGATAATTAAATATAATGTTTAAACTATGCTACTACTATTTTTAATTATTACTATTACAAACTATTTTTTCAACAGTTGGGCACCCTTGCTCAGTTGCTATTACTATTAGTATTAATGTTATAAATATTTTCGGTATTAACTAAGTTGAACTACTATAGTAATAGTAATACTAATAGTTTACTAACAATATCACTAAATTAAAAAATAAATATTTGTTATGAATTAGCTGAACTAAGAATTGTAACTCGTAAGATTCTTTCAGTTTCAAGCTTCTCATGTGTTGCATCAGTTATGCAAAAAACAAAATAATGAAAGTGTTTATTGTTAATAACACTAGAGTAGTTTCTGCCAAACAGTTCAGTTTGTAATGTTAATTTTGTTGTTACTCATCTGACTCATTATATTTCTGTCTGAAATTATATGTCAGGTGTAACTTGCTAGATGTTCAAAACAAAATAGAATGCCACAGATTATATTAAAAAACATGAAAATTAAATGTATAATCTTAGCATTTCTAGAAGGAGTAGTTAATTATATATAACTGGCATTGTGGATAGCATATAATAATAACTTTAAATCAGGTTAAGCTATGTACTTAGAACAAAATTAAAAATAACCTGGCCACTGTATAGCTAATTAGATATTCTTTTTTATACATTTCTACTTCTAAAGATCAGAATGGATTGTTTCATCAGTTTATGTACCATTGCTGCTAAAGATATTTTTAGCTGTAATCCCAATAATATCTCACAAAATGCAACCAGCTTAGGAGACTTAGGTTAGTCCTAAATGCAAATAATGCAAGGGAATCTATAATATAAGTATAATGATAAAACAAAATAAAAACTAATGACTTTAAATACAATAACTAATGTACTTAGAGTAATTAGAAAATACTCAAAAGTTCGGACACTTTCATGTAGATTTCTCACATGTCAGGAATGCAAAAGGTAAAAATAAGAGGTTACGTAATATACCTTATCAGTTTTTCATTACAAGGTTTAGTCAAGGTGGTGAAGGAAAAATAAACTGGCCAGTTACATTAAACAAATGTGCACATTATCAGTGGTTAAACTACCATATATATTTGAGTCAGACATACTGGCTCCATTCCTGAAATTGGGGGATTCCCCTCCCTCCCCCCAAAAAATCAAAAATAAAATTTCTTCTCAAGGGCTTTGTTTGTTGTTGTCCCCCCTCCAAACAGCATTTTTATATCCCATCATTATTAACAAAAATTAATCCCAGTCACTGTAACTAACTTCTATTCATAATTTGTTATAATCACGTTAACCAGTGAAAGTAGACCAGTACATTGGTCTAAAGTTCAACGGTCTGAACACAAGTGGAAGTGGCTACCCTTAGATTATATATCAGTAAGAACTGAAAATCTGGAATCTGTGTACATTTTAAAAAGTTGCAGTATAACTGCTTTATGGTTACTTTCGGGAATATGGGCTGGGTAGAATCCACCCACTCCTATTAGAAGGGTTAAGCAGTTAAAAATGCAAACAGTGGCTAACTTTCTTGTTTACAGAAGCTTGATTGAGGTCTATATTATATGTTATTTCTTGAAATTCAGCAAAGACTGAACTCATCAGTCTGTTTCGAGTGTGGAAGGATCAAACCTTTAGCAGTGTATCAAAAATTATGACAAGCCTATTTTATGTCTTTCAAACACCTTCGTCCAACATGCTTGTAATAATAATTGGTATTATTTTTAGTAGTAAGTGTTATATTTCCTGTTGTTCACAACATTATTAGTCCATGTAGGTGTTATACAGTGAGGTTGATAGAGACCTATATGGACCCACAGGTTCCTTGTGGTCCTTTATATCTTTAAAAAATGAAGTAAAACAAAGCTACTTGCACATTGTTACACTAGGTGGTAAAGTTTTATTCGATCATGAATAAATCAGTCCATAATATTTTTGTTGGAAGTGTAATTGAGAAAGTATGTTTATAACTGTAGGAGTATAGTCTGAACATTTGCAAGATATGCATATTTATTCAACAATGGGGAACATAAGCCCTTATACATATAGAGGTTTAATCACTTGTATCCTAGTGTGTTGAAATCGGTTGCTTTCTATAGTTTGTATTAATGTTTACAATATGATGTGTTTGTGTCTTTCTAACATTCTCAACAAGCAGAAGAACAATAATTAAATTGCTTTTGTTGTATGAAGGTACAAAGTTTACATCTGTTCAGAAACACAAGAACAACTGTGACAATACCTACAGATTTGGCCTTTCTTCTAACTTGGCTGGAGTTAGTATCATGACTGTATATTGAGAAAAAATACCAATGCTTTGATCTAAATAGTTTATATACCCACTAAATTTGACTGTCCACATACAAAAAATATTTTCTTCAATTTTAAAATTTTACACATGAAAATTTTTCTCCATTTTGAAAGTGGGGGCTTCCCCCAGATTTGTAGATTAATCACTGGGTGTAATACCTGAAAAAGTTACGGAGTTGTTCAAAACGTCTGAAATTGTGCTGGTTTATCTAAATATTTTTTAATTCTGTTAAAGTTTAGCACCCATTAAGGCATAACTACTAATTATTCAATTGACGTTATTTTATCTTTTGTTGATATAAAAATAACTTATGAATTTCTTTATATTCTTCATTTCTAAAACAAAAAACTCTGTTCACGTAAAAAAAATTCCTAATCCTTTGGATTCGCGTGGCAGTTCTTATGGATTCTGGTACTAGTTACTGCCTTTCTACAAGTCTGGTAATATGTAAAAACTATATTGAATGTAGCAGATAGAGGTGGCTGGTTATTTTGATAATTGATACCATGAATTGGTCATGTAGTATTAGGAAAAAAATAGGGATTGCTAGAAATAGATACTGCTTTTCCTGTTTGTAGTTGATACGTGAATAATATTTTGTTTTCATTTGATACGTGAATAAAATTGTTTTGATTTTTAGACAACAAAGTAGCAGTGCTGGGTGATTAACTAAATTAATCAATTAGATATGAATGTCAGTTACATTGATTATTATCATGTAAACTAATTTATTAATCAATTAATGTTATAAAATTAGTCAACTAATCAAAATCAGTGTTTCTTATTATTACTGTTTTTGGTTACTCAGACTATCCAAATAATAAAAATATTGCCATTATGATTTCTTATTATTTTCTATTTATTCAAGGTTTTCAGCTTGACTGAAATTATTGTTTCCAGTTGTTACTTTTTCTGGTCTGTGTCTTGTGCAAATAATCTGTTACTTAAATGTAATTGCTTAGTGAGCCCAACAATTTCTCGATTAACAAATTTTACTAATTAGTCACTTTAATTTCAAATTACACAAAAAAAGAGCCCATGAGTATTTTTTTTTTTCTGTTAACGTGCTGTACAGATGTGGTAGTATGTATGCTGTACAAATATTTTTTGTTTCAGATAATGAAGCTGTCCTTAGTGTCTATGATTGCAACATGTGTGCTCTTACATATGTTTTATACTCGAGCAGATGATGATGAAGCTACTATAGAAGTGGAACAGGTAAAATTTAGTTTCACTTTTTTTTTAACCCTTTTGAGATGGGTCACGGGTGAAAGGCCATGTCATCTCGTTTGTTGACTCCCATTCAAAATTATACTGAACTACTATTTCATGAATTTATGTCAATAAGTTTGGTATCAAACTGTAGATTAGTACTATATATTACTCAATTTCTTTATTTAAAAGCAAATTTAAGAAAAACAGTGGTAAATATTGATTTTCGTGTGTCACGTGGTATGTTGACTGCAGCACTGGTTCAAATTAGATGTTTGTGATGTCAAAATACTAAGTCTGTAGTTTCGTACGAATTAGAAACTCAAATTACCAATATTGACAAGCTAGAATATAAAATAAGAACATCTTTTCTATTTCCTAAGATATTGCTCATGTAATAAACACACTGGCACCCCACCCACCTCTTTCCATTTTTGGAAATGCTCCCTTATATACACTTCTATATATGACATGAATAACCAATTGGGAGCTCAGAATGTCCCTCCTAGTGGTTTTCTCAGCCATTTTAATGGTCTTGGTGCCATTTCTTTCTTTAGTCTGCTCGAAATTTAATATTTTTTTAGATTAAAATACATCTTAGCTACTAAGCTTTATAAATTATAGTGGAATTCTATGGTACTAATGTAGTAATTTATGATTTTTTAGTTATTCAAATGTATATACAAAACCTAAAAAATATTTTGTTTCATATCCTCCATGTGCAAATTTTTTAAAGGATTAGCAACCGAGAACAAAGGTCATAACTAGAAGAGATAATTGTTTGATTTACTTCTTTAGTTACTGTTCTATTTTTAAGAAAAATATATTTAATAATAATTGAAATGTGACTGCATTCTACAAAATACTAGTCTACTAAAACACAGCCAAGACAAGTTACTTTGTACAGACCGATGGTCAGTTTTATGTTATTTGATACGGTAACATGGGTGCACATGAGCCGTGTCATTGTAACTTCAGTATTGTTAGCCAGGCATGACTGAAAGATCAGTATAATAAAAATAATATATGTATGTGTAAATATATATATATATATGTATAATGTTATAAAATTTAAGCTATTTAGTCTAAACATTTATGTTTTGTGTTCATTCTAGAACGAAAGAGACATAATTTATGTTTATTTCCTAATCTTTTATGGTGGTTGCAAGATCTGTCAAATCTACTGAACCTGTACTGAGATTAATTACTGAAAATAACAGATAAAATATAAAGTTTTTTTCTTAAGAAACGTTTGATAACTA